AGCACTGTTGTTTAATTTACAAGGCCTTAATATAGTTTTTTTAGTATACATTATTTAACTGTTTAATAAGATGTAATGTCAATTTTAAGTTAGATTCAACAGTTTTTTTATATATTATAACATCTATAAAAGCATACACGTGGGTGCGGTAAAAAGGACCAACTAAATCTTTCATCTGGAAAAGCAATTTTACAAATAATAAATTAAGCTAATAGTTACCGAAACTCTGCTTATAAATATTTTTGACGAATGACCAGATCAAGGTTATATACGATGTTATCTATATAAAAAATATACCATAAAATTTATATTTTGCATTGGTTGACTAATTTAGCTATTATTAAAAAAATCCTTCCAAAATTAAAAATAAAACATTTGACCAGTTTGCCCCCTGGTCGTTCCATTTTATCCCGCCTATGGGTCAAAAAGAACCAGGTGACAAATTTTTGAAAAACAGCAAAAAACACATTTCTGCAATAATGAATTAGCTGAGTTTTACTGAACATAGTCAGATAGTTGTTTGTTTGATATGGGTTGTTTGTTGTGATATAACTGGTTTGGTTTTCAAAATATAATTGCTCAAAGTGAAATTGGACCTTTGAAGCTCACCCTACACTATAACATAAAAATTTCAATTAGAATTTCGTATTTATAATATTAACTTTTCATTGATATTTTTAACAACCCTAGCTCACAGATACACATTACTGGAATACAATAACTAGACGTAGCAAAAATGCACTAAGGGGGTACAGAGATCCATTAAAATCGGCAGACATTGCGACTTGGGACATTGTATAATAGATCTAACTATTATATATATATATATATATATATATATATATATATATATATATATATATATATATCGGAGGAAATATTTCTGCAAGACGGAAGTCGTAAAATCCCTAGCTATTGGCAAATTTATATCCATTGATAGTATTGGGTTTGAAATAATTATTATTGGAAACGTCTACATAGCGGTTATAACACCAATAACTATTATTCTAGTAAAAAAACTGGTTAAATAAATGTTCTACGTTTTACTAAATCTGAAAAATCGATCCGTCTCCTGGAGTAATTTTCGGTTTCCCGGACCTGCACATTTTTGGGAAACGGGCTTTCAGCTCGTCTTCTCGGATATTATTATATTTTTTCATTTAATTCGGTGTTGAGCTATATGCCGTTCCAGATACTTCCCTCTATCCACAACATCCTCCTCCCCATCTTCGAGAGAGGGTAGAAAACTCTCGTATTTCGTTTTTCTGTTCGTATTTTTTAATATACATTTTTTCTCGTTTCCGGGGGTTACAGGTATACAGTCGCTTGGTGATATATTTTTATTTCAGTATTGAGACATTTATCATTCTCCCTAAGATTTCCTCGAGAATTTTTGCTCTACGTTTTATATACGGATGTAGTTATGCTCCCTGAACGAAAAACGAATCTACAGAGACGATGGGTACGATTCTGAATCAACATTTGAGAAAAGAATGAATATCTTATATTTTGATAGTAAAATAACTTATTTCCACTAATATTAAAGTGTGAATAGACCTCAAACCTAATTTCTAATTTAAAACAATATTAGAACTTCAGAAAACTTGAAGAATCCTAAAAAGTAAACTTTCGATTTGATACCGAAAAATGAATTTAAGAAGATACGAGCAAGACAAAATAGTGTTATCAATTTTGGTTGCAATAGTAAAATACCTTTTTCATTAATTTCAAAATTGTTTTATTAAAACATTTTCGTGTATCATTTGCTTAATATTCCATAAAGAAAATTTATCTCGGCTTCAAAAATTGTTTTGAGCATTCATGTACATTCCTCGTTTTAGTGCATAAATATGTAAAACCAGCCGTTGGCTTCGTAGAGATCCAACAACTCTGTGTTATTTTGCACAATGCATAGTCAAATACATTCGATCGTATTTTAAGCGTTTTTACAACCGCTAGAAACCTAGAATAAGATTGTTGCGAAGAAAATGTGGAAAAATAGTGTCTACTCGTGCGGAGCTAAGGGGTTTTCGATGGTCGTTTGTCCGGCAATCCCTCCGGTAGGAGTGAGGCATGCTCAAAATCGATTTTTTAGAACTGTACAACACGACTCTATTCAGCCAACATCGAAATTGGTAGAATAATTAGGTATACTTTAGCTTTTACCTCATAATCATAATTCCTATGCTTCTATGTATCTATGCCACAATAAATAATAATCACAAATCTGATAATTGAAAATAATAAGTTTATCATTTCGTTGATGGTTGTGCATGCGTGATCCATCCAAATTAAAATATTAAACAAACATAAACATTTAAACTGGCATGTTACAGATCACGGAGTCTAAAAACAATGTAAACAAATTGAATTATCATTATATTTATGAGCCAATTCGGCCGCAAAATAGGCCAATGTTAAGGTGAGACAAATATAAAATAATACTAAAAACTTTAACCAGCATTTTTGATAAAAAAAACCTAACGCAGAAAACTCACACACCTCAAAGATACTCTCATCATAAGTGCATCTTATGTTGTGTCATATTAACATATGAGTGAATTTACATTTTGTGTGTAAAATGCCTAATCACACAGCAAATATATAGCATCTTGACAGATTTTAGTACCATTTTATATGAAAAATGCAGTGTAACATAGCCTTGCCATAACATTGGTCTATTTTAAAGCTGAATTGGCACGTTAGTTTATTTTGAGCTCCAATATGTTTAATTGCGATTTCGAGTATCTTACAACTTTGTAAATAGTCATAAGCATTCCTAAGGGGTTTATGAACAATAATAACATTATATTTTAATCGAGAGGGCTCATTTAAATTATCAAAATGTTAAATCGTCAATTTTCGAACAGATCTCATAATTATATAAATCAATAGATGAGAAGCTTATGAACTTTATTAACCATTTATATACCAGTTTGCGTGATCGAGTTCAACTGTGTTTAATTACCATTTCAAGAATCTGACGACAATGTTAGTTGTCTCGAACCCTCAGTGGGCAAATATATAGCTGCGCCTGTATATCACGCGATTATTTATTGCCTCATGTAGGTACATTGTTGTTGTTTCTACACAAAAGCATATTATCCGCCCGCCTCCGTCCAGATGCATAAGATAGACATTACGCTCCATTTCTTTCTGCTAACAAAAGCTGTTTATCCGGCGCACGCGGCGGTGGCGGTGGCGGCGGTCTCCTTCCCGCATGTAATGCGGGAATGCCCTACGATGGGATAGCCACGGAACGACTCCCGAAGGAGTAATATCAGCGGACCTAATAGCCTTCCAAATGGCTTTCGAAACACCTTTTTAATGAACTACCCTGTCGGCCGTCCTTCGACGCGTTTCGTCTCCGTTAGTTAAAGGAAACGACGATACGACGATGCGTCGCCGTTTATTGTCAATTATTCTGATCCGCTATTTCCATTATCGGGACATAGGCGAATACGCCAGGACAGAGGTTGCCAACGTAAAAATCTATATACTCATCTTAATTATTTATTTCTTTGAACTCCTTAAGCAACACATTGTTGAATTAGGCCGTCCATTTCCCCATTATTGGAGCATTGGCAAATAACCGAAAATACAGTATCTAGGGCTCTTCATATTTTATGGATTTTTTGAAGAAAATTCAATGTGCTCAAATTTTTGCAGTATTTTCCCAGTGACATTAGAAGTCTGCTATACAAATATTTCTGCTGTAGTTCAAATACTTTAAGAGAAATACGCATTTGAAAAATTGGACTAAACAACGTTGCCTATGTATTAGGATGCCAATGATTTACTTTATCCAAGTTAATTTAATTCAATTAAATAGTATCTAAACTCGTAACTATCTCCAAGATGCATTCTTTAATTAAGACATTAAACTTGGCCATCCACTTCCCCATTATTAAAACATTGTCAAAAAACCAAAAGTATAGCATGACCCTTTGCATATTTTATTGATTTTTTATTAAATTCGAGGTGCTCATATATTTATGGTATTATATATTCCCGATAACATTAGAAGTCTGCTAGAAAAATATTTCGACCATAGCTCAAATACTTTACGAGAAACACGCATTTGAAAATTTGGACTAAATTCCGTTGCCAATGTACTTTGATGACAATGATTTACTTTATTCAAGTTAATTCAATTCAATTCATTTGTCTCTAAACTCGTGACTATCTTAAAGAAATATTCTTTAACTTGAAATTTGCCTTCAATTTCCTCATTATTGATAAAAAACCGAGAGAAATACGCATCTGAACAATTGGACCGAACAACGTTAAAAATGTAGTTGGATGCCAATGATTTACTTTATTCAAGTTAATTCAATTCAATTGTATCAAAACTCATGACTAATCTTGAAGTTGTATTTGAAGTAACACTGGCTACTTCTACTATTGTCATTTATATACCATATGTCATTTAACTCATTACATTGTTTTAGATTTATTAAATGTCCACTAAGGACAGTTGTAAATTATATGGTGGATTAAAAAAAATCTTAGAGTTAAAGTGTGCAAGAATAATAGACAAATGTACATAATTTTATACTAAAATATCATATTTATATTTATTAAAACTTAAGAAATTTTTACTAAAATTGCTTCTCCGTATGACTGTTTTTTGCAAAAAATGAATGAGAGTACAGTGTATTTGTAAATGTGAATAAATACGTATGCACAAGTGCCATAAATTTTTGTGTAGGATATGTATACATTCACAGACAATGTTTTTAAGGGTAAATTTCAATGTCCAATGGTTTTATTGCATTAGACAAAACATAAAAATTCCTTAGATTTCCTTGCATATAAATGCATGGTAAATTCCAAAGAAAATAGTTAAACAGCATTTAGGCATTGCGATTTACTATAAATTTATTTGTAATTGTGCGCACAATCATACATCAAAATATTAATATTATATAAATTGTCTCGAAATCACAACAGATTTCATACAAACAAATAATATAAACATCGACTCACCAATTATTGACTTGCAGTATTGTTAAACCAGTATCTTGTGCAAGTTGTTTCTTTTGGTCTTCTGAAGGGTAGGGATGCTGAAACAAAATAAAAAAAATTAGTATTTCAGACAAAATCAAAAACACACATGATAATATTTTTATAATGTAAAAAAATTGGCAGATATGATTAAATTCTTAAATAGTCGTAGTACTAAACGTATATATCAATACGTTTTTGTTTTTCAAGGTAAGTACCTATATCTCAAGTCACGATATATAGTACATAATTTTCATAATTAGTTAACAAGTTTGAACTTTTAAATATACCACGCAATAGTCTAGTTTTGTCAAATATGCAAGATAGGATTATTTGAAGCTCGTGTATACACATGAACAAAAAAATTTAAAGTAAAATTATGAGAAGAGATGCCAACCGACTAGCATCCTGTATTAAGCATACATGAGATAAGAGAGTTTTTTGAAGTATATTTAGATGTCGGATAATATTATTTTTAGGAATCAAATTCTTGTCCATAGTCAGAAGGTATATTATTTTTTCTATAGCCTGTAAATTTATATTCTTCGACGATGATTCGAAATCATACAGCCGCCTAAGGATCCATAAATAGAACCGCTTGATACGACGTGGTTGTATTAAATTTGACATTCGCGCCTTGCGAAGCAATTTCAAAACAATACGGTAATTGCGTGCGTGCTACATAGCCTAGAAAGGTAATATCGCCGACAAAGGGCCCCGACTCTCTGAAACGGTATAATCACGATAATTGACATTATTTCAAAACCATTGACAGACAGACTGCCAGGCTGCTCTGTGCCGTTCTGATATCCGGCCAATATTATTACGATTCAGACTTGCGTCATCGGAAAATGGAGAGAATTGCCATTTTGGACCTTGGAGACGAACGGCAGATTTGTGACACTCCACGAGTAGCTAATGGAGTAAAAAACATAGACACAGATTATATGACACAAAATGGTAAAAATCAAGTCTTTAGTACTTTCTTATTTTTTATTTATTTATTTATTTTAGTTGCGATCAGAACTTAAGGGTTCTATAAACTGTTTTGATGAATTACTTACAAATTACGTTGGTTTTTAATAGATGAAACCCAAACAGTTTTCCATGCGATGAAATTTTTACTACAATTTTTGTTACACTGATGAATTTTTAATTGATGCAGCAATTCTGGGCAAGGGCTATTGTCACGTGTAAACATATTGCTATTTATATTTCCAAGTAAAAACCGATGTCACTACCGCTTGACATCAGGCTGCACCGGGTATCCGACCTGGGACCTCTGGAACCGTCTTCCTAACGACTTACCTATGAGCAAACCCTTAGGAAATATTAAACGCCAACGGTGTTAGGGTTGTTAATAACGTCCCTACAAAAATTGCAAGTATGGGCTAACCACGCAAAATTGGGTACAGTATAAATTCATTAATCTACCAAATATCAAAGTCACTTAATTGGGCTAAAATAAAAATAATAAATTAAAACATCTCCATTTCAGGGACAATTCTAAAATAGATTAATAAAATAGAAATGTTATGATAACGCCATGTTATGGGTCTATCTTCGTATGAATTTGCAAGAAGAGTAAGAACTGCCAGAAAGCTATGTATTTGCTGCACGATCAGGCGTTTCACACATCTAATCTAATCTAAACTTTATCATAAGTGCACCTTTCTGATGTCTTATTAATAACACACACGTGAGGTTAAAATTTATGTGTAAAGTTTTATGCTTCAGCCATTTCAAATATTAAATTATAATAATTTTAATAAATATATTTTCCATAAATCATGTAAAAAGAAATAAAACATAAATCCAATTCAGTGAAAGCTATTTATCTCTCAATGTGTGAATTTCTGATAATAAAACGCCGCTAAAAGACGTCAAATCAAATTCATTCTGATGAGAATTCAAACGTTAGATAAATTATAAGCGAAGGGAAAAATTCCACTTTAGAATAATTGACAGATTTAAGTTTAAATGATGAGATGTACCCTTGACAGCAAATACTCTTACCAAGATTGAAAAAGAATTTTCATTAAGGGCTCGTGTTTCACTTAACGTGAAAATAAAAGTTAATTTTGAGATTTGGGATATTTATAAAACTTTGTCCACGGATGAGACATGACAAAATAAAACTCACAAACACAATTAAGGTTTGTCTTGGAAAATCTATAAAAGTATTGTTTTGTAAGTCCAATGTCTAATAAATAATATAGATACAGATTGTATGAGAGAAACCGTACACAAAAGTGGATTTTTTGTTTGTTTTCGAACAGCGAACAAAAGCTTTGGTATGCTATAATACCAAATTGTTTGTAATGATTATTTTAATATTGGCAACTCAATAGTTGTATTTTCTGTTTTACTAGAAGGCAATCTAATGGTTGTTCCAAAAATTAGAATTTAAAAAAATCCTGTTTCATTACTAAACCTATTTCATTATAAAAATACGGTATTCCAGTATCACACGTTTCGAGTGGAACTAGTCATCCGAAAATAGCATATTTAGTATATTTAGAATAATATCTCGAAACAAAATGACACGATTTCCACTAAATCAAATCGTAAAAGTCAATGCAGAAGATATACGATCTCTTCATGAAGATACTTAACAGACACAAAATTAGATAACGCATTCGTGTAACAAACATATCACTATTTCTGGGTTCGTTAAGTCTGGCATGAATATTTCAAATACATGTTTCTTATTTTTGTCAATAATAACGTTTCATATTTGGCAATCGTCCCAAAAATATAAATTTAAATATTATATATTTACTAGTATGCAGAAAAACGATCAATTGGCTTATTCTGAATCGGTTGCTGACAACAACCGTTGTTTACTTTGAATTTTAGTTTAATTTTTTGAAAAATATTTTTATTTTATAATTATTACTGTTATACATGAAAATGACTCAGTCAGTAGCGTGCCCGACTCACACGCCAGGGTTACTCGGTTCGAGTCCTGGCACTGACATAGGACTGTCATCTGATTTGTTACATTGAAGTTGTTGGTTTGAGATGAAGCAGAATTAGACGTTGAGATGAAGAAGCAAGGTTAGAAGAAAAAAAAGAATAAAAAAGTTAGTTATAATGATAATTTGATAGTATATATAAAAGTAAATAAAAAAATATGTTATTTGCTCATTATATGAGGTTATTGTTTTTTTTTAATGTTTGGTTGTTTATGCCATTATAATATCTGGAGGATATGCTAATATGACGTAACTATTTTAAAATCATGAGTTTTATCCATAAATGAATGAAATTTCTTGTCTAAGATTTATTTGCAAAACTAAAAATGAGCTGCTCGTGAAACACTTCTCATGAGCAGTTTAAATCATCAAATTTTTAAAGTACACTTATTTATTTAACAAAGCCTTATAATTATAATTTTTCAACACAACTATACCGCACATAGCCAAATTTATTTACTTTTTTTTAAACAGCCATTTCCATGAGCTATTATAATGGATTTATTACTAAGTTCAATTTTTCTACATATGGCAAGACAAGCTGTAGTACTACCTCTATGTGATGATTTTTATTATTACAATTATTGTAATAGTGATTTTTTATTTATGCAGCAAAGTCTGGTGAGGTCTATTCTAACTTTGGCACAAATTGCTAACTATATTTCTATTAACTGATGTCACTGCTGCTTTACATCGGGCTGATCGATTCGAGTATACTTCCCGAAACCTCTATTTCAGATCCCGTTGCTCTAGCCACTTACCTATGAGTGAGCCCGATCGCCATGTTACGATTAACTTCATGCTCGATTTCCCTAATTTATCAAAACATTTTAACATGATATTAATCATTAAAATAACTAAAGGTATGTGTGTGCATATCACAAAATGTTTAATTACTTTTATATCACAATGGTAACTCTATCCAACGCGATTCACTCATTTATTTACAGTACGGAGCTCAGGTATCATAATATTTGCGTTCGAAAAACGCTTGTGTTCATAATTCCATCTTCGATAGTTAAATTAATGATTATACTACACATCAGTAATGGTAAGATGAATATTGTTTTAATAATAAATGAAGAGAAGTTCAAAGTGTTAATACCAATTTGCATGTTTAAACCGTCTCGCATACTGCGGGCACAACAATATATATATATATATATATATATATATATATATATATATATATTTATATATATATTAATATATAATGATTTATTCATGACAAAACATTAATCAGAAAATCATTAGAATAACGCTTTTGGAGCTTGTCAGGTTTAATGTCTAGTTTTGTTCAATTAAGTATTACATTGTTAAGAGATTAGACAATTATATCTCTCCGGCACCATCATTCACAATCTTCGGCCTAGGCTTATGTGGCGCATTTATTATATTGAGCAACACGTGTTATTTGCATAGAAAATTAGCACAAGTCTTTAATAACCGTTAAAGATTAAAATGTTATGCAAGAACGACATTCATTGCAAAATAACTCGTGTTATGTGCCGACTAAACGAAATGAATCGTAAATAGATATATAAACTCTTTGATCTTTTCATATAGGCTTATCAATATAAAAGATAATTTTAATATGTAACTTGTTGGCTATAAGTACCAGGCGCTACACACTGCCCAATGGATCCGAAACAAGTTTTAACAGAAACTATAAAAAATCGACTTTTCATTATCCTAAACAGTTCTGGATCAACTTATTACAAATTTATTCAACACAGGTTATTTTAATATTTTTTCAAACATGTGGTAGTAACTTAACTTGGAACCACAAAGTTCCGGGTTCAAATACGTCGTTGCTGATATCAAGCCGTTGTGACATCAATTTTTGCTTGAAAATGTACTGTACATTTTCAAAATGTATGTTACATTGTAAACTGTTGAAGTATCATCACAATGATAAAAAGTATAACCATTAAGTTGCCTTTTAGGAAACATATATCAAAATATAATAGGCAACCATTGAGTTGCATCTCAATAGCAATTAGTAAAAATAATCATTATAGAATTAATTACAACAGTTTATAGAATACCAAATTCTGACTTCTGTTCAAAAACAAACCAAA